TGTTGTGGACAGTGAGGGGTTGCAGTACGGAGGATGGTGTCCGCGGCTGAGACATCGGGGAGTTGAGCTTCCGTGGAGAGGGTGGTCGTCGCCAAAGTGCTGGACGCAGGAAGGACTATTGAAATGTTTGACGCCGAAGAGTTGGATGCCGTTAGAGGGGTGGTGCTTCTGGAGATGACCGACAAAGCCAATACATGCACGGGAGGTGCGTTGACAGCGCGGGCAAGTTAGAAGGACTTAGGCATTGGCAGCGTACCTCCGTTGGGTTTCAGACCTGAGAGCCGTCCTTTTTGCCTTGGCGGTGGCGTTCAGAGTGGCCTCGTAGATAGCTAGGCTAGTCTTCATTCTTCTTCCTCAAGCTTATCGGTCCTGCGCGAATTCCTCACAGGTCGTCGTGTTGAGTTGAAGGCGCTTCAGAGCCGTTTTCAGCGTACCCTTGTAGTTCCTCTTTTGTCATTCTTGGCAGCGAGCACCCATAGCGACAGCACCATAAAACAGTCGCTTGGGTAGCCTTTGGTCGTCCATTCGTACCAGGTTGCCGCTCCGACGCAGTTTTATTCGCCTTAGCATGGCCTGGATGCTGAGAATTCTCGTTCTCTTCAGGACTTCCATGTCTGGAATCGTGTCCTACCACCACAATTTTAGTATTCGGTGGAGACAGCTGATATGGAAATGGTTCAGCTTTCAAGCTTGGTTGACGTAGACAGTCTAAGTCTCCGTTCCGTACTGCAATGTCGGGAGGATGACGGCTCTGTACACCTTCAATTTCGTGGACGGCTGGGGATTATGACAGTTCCACACGGAGGCTCGAAGCTGACGAAAGGCTTGGCTGCCTTTGGAGGTCCGGCGAACAACCTCGTCGTCGGTTCTGGTGTTGGAGGATAGTGTTCTCCCAAAATAGGCAAAATTGAACACGTTTTTGAATGCGGCGCCGTTGACATTGTTAGGTGGAGCATTTTAATCAGCATGGGCAGCGGTTAATGCATGACGACCGTTTTATCCATGTCGATGGTTAGACCGAAATTTGCGCAACGGGTGGCGAAGATTTTCACGCTCCTTTGCATGTCCGCTTCTGTTGTGGTGTTGAGGGCGCAGTTGTCCGCGAAAAACAGGTCATGAACTGTGGTCGTGGAGACGCGCATGGGAACCTGCATACATCGGATGATAAGGAGATGCTCGACTGTTTTTTAGTTGATGCGGATCCCGGGGCGCTGATTATGGTAGGCCTCCATCAGCATGACAGACAGCATGAGACTGGGGAGGGTAAACGCAAAAAT